AAGTATTAATAGGCACACGTATTAATTTAGTACATCCTGCTGGAATTATATCCTCATATAAGTTTATGTTACGAGAGTCGTACATTCGTATCGGATTCGTTGCAGATCTCGTAATTAAGCAAAGGTCTTTTAAGTCTATTTTGGCTTCCCACTTACTTAGTAAATCTAAACCTATTAAACCGTCGAAATAGTTGTGAAAACGATACACGAATAATTTTATACAATTTGGGTCGTTAAATTCTTTAAAACAAGGCATCGTTACAGAGTAACTATTTCTGCTGGTGGCATGTACGTTTGTTACTTCGAATGGGTCGTAATTTAACGGAATGTTAGGGAAATAAGTTTGTAACGCTTCGGGGCTTATGAATGATTGATTTGCACCTGTATCTATTAATAGCTTTAGTGGGGGATCGGAGATAAAGATGTATGGAAGCTGTCGCTGTGTTTGCAAGTTTAATTCTATTTTGGTTTTTTTGAAAACTTCGTTATGCGAAAATCCGAATTGTCATGGCTAGGACCTGGTTGAGGTTCCATTTCGTCTGTCAAGTCATTACTATATGTCACGTCGTAGCATATCTCGTCAGGGTTATAGTCATCGTTAACAGTATTATAGTCCACGTATTCTGGGTAGTAACATTCAGGTTCGTGATAGTACTCGGGATAGTATTCTTCATACGGAGCACACTCATGAACGTTCATGTCCCTAGACTTAAGATAGTTAGTCGGTGGTGGGTTACCTGACTTGAACCAATCATGACCAGTCATCGAAGTATGGGGTAAAGTCTTGGGCATAAAATGTTGTACACCACTCATAGGCTTTGGGCCCGAATTTTGTGCGTGGTTGTTTCTGGGTGGTAACCGAAATACATTACTCTGGGGGTTGTAATTAGGTGGTAATGCGCGAAGCATCTGTTGAGTGCGAGTAGGCATACGGAACGGGGATTGATTTTGTGGGGGATTAAATCTAAATTGATTTTGTGGGGGATTAAATTTAAATGGTTGCGGTTGAGGCTGATTTACACGTGGTCCTGCATTCATAGGCCAATTAGGCATAGGAGCTTGAAAAGCTTGGGGACGCAGTTGAGGTATGTAGCTTATAGGGGGTGTCGGGATGTTCAATTTAAAATTTGGTGGGACCTTTGGAGATTCGTGACGTTGATGTAAGTACATGACGTTAAGTTCTTCTTGAACATATTCTAGAGCCTTTTCGATCGAACAAGGTCGCATGCACCTTATTCGAGACCCTAAGGGTTCCTTAAGTCCTCGAACGAAGGCTTGCATCGTTACCTTTTTATATAACGCTCGCTTAGCCTCAACGGTGGTCTTGACTGATTCGTGCAGAGTAACGTAGGTCATTATGGTACTAAATAAGGTTTGACATTGGTCGTAAAACTCTTGTGGTGTTTTGTTACCCTGCGTCGCTAAAGAGAGGTCGTTGTATAAGGCTGTCTCGTCCCTTTGATCGCTAAAATTATTAATTAACGCGGTTCGTATACCCGCCCAGCTTTCCGGTATACCATTTGAGTTAATGGTACACGCAGCGGTTCCTGTTATTTTGTTTAATATACCATTTAACAGACATAAGTTCGATAGCTCGTTGCCTGGGGCTGTGCTTACATATCTGGTCACTATTTCGTCGCAAATATTAATAAATCGCGGCAACACATTTGGGTTACCGTCGAAATCCGGAACAGGGCGTAGAGCCTTGTATATGGTGTCCGGGTCTATAGACATATTAGTTTCTAAAAATAAGTTTCCTAAGTAATAATCAAAATCTAAATCTCTATCTATATCTACTCTATTCCGACGAGCCTGCCGCGATGCAGGTTCTCGGGGATTACTTGAGGATTTTGGGTGAAAAATTTTGGGGTAGGGGGTTGACTTAGGGCTAAAAGGAAGCAACACGAGAACAATTCAAGTGCACTTACAAAATCTGCATCCTTGGATCTTTTTCGTGAATCGATGCTCAGATTCTCCTTCGGCCTGCAGCTGGTTCGTACTTGGATACTCGTTGACGGGACTAGAAAGTCGCCCGGGCGATTCTTGAACGCGCACTCCTATTTTTGAAGCCCGAAATGCTCGCGAACCGGCCCGCGAGTATCCTACCGACTGCGCCAATTACGATTGCTACAGCCGTTGGTTCGAAAAAAAACCAATTTACTTATAATTATTTATTATACTAAAAATTACAAATTAAATCTTAATTG